TGGCGCCGTTCATATACTCGCAGGATGGGGGGCAGCTTATGAAGGGAGGGAAAACAATAAATTTCATAATAATGTATGCTAAAAAACTGTTTTAAATATTAAATATGAAGAAAGCTTTTTCATATCAATATAAGCTTTCGAAACGTTTTCTGAAATATCCAGCTTAGAGCCATAAAATAATTTCAACAAGGACTCTTAGATATTGCCGTTAGTATCAGTAATACTGTCATCTACTCTGTCGTGCGAATATCAAATAGTTTTATCAGCGGTGAATAGTGTTGTAACTAATGACTTGATAATAACAGTAATGTTCCTGCTTTGCAATAACATTAATAGGATTTACCCAAGAAACCGACACTAAGGAACAATCACGGAATTGCACTCACGTTTACATTACACCTCGCGAATTCCACGCAGCAACACTCGAGCAGGAATATCACAAAGTGGATCGCTTCGAAGCGATAGCCTCTCGCGAGCCAATCAGGCGAACGTGCAATATGAGGCAGCTTGCAAAACGTGGGTTACGAAACGTGTCGACGACGGCAGTGGCAGAGGTGGTAGTGATGCTTACGGTAACGGTAACAGTGACCATGCCTTTGATAGTGACTGAGAGAAACTGAGACAGGATACCAGCGACCAGGGAACTGTCACATGGGCTGATAGCAAGCCAGTAACGGTGGGAGGAACAGGGAGGGCGAAAGAGAGCGCCGGTTTAACTGGCAGGAGTGGCGGCGTGGGAAGCAGAAGGGGCTGAGGCGTTTGAGGCGGCATAGGTGGCGGAACTCCGTAGGGTATAGGGCGTCAGTGGTAAATGAGGGCGAGGGGTACGGCGGCCTCGGCGACAGTGGATCCGGTGGATGTGCTGGTAGCGGTGAAGATAGTGGTTGTTGTGGTGGAAGTGGTGGAGGTGGAAGTGGTGGTGGTGATGGTGGAAGTGGTGGTGGAAGTGGTGGTGGAAGTGGAAGTGGTGGTGGAAGTGGTGGTGGAAGTGGTGGTGGAAGTGGTGGTGGAAGTGGTGGTGGAAG